TTATTTATAGTGGATACATATATTTGAATAGACGCTTGAGTTTAATTATTATTCATTTACGCCTACATATAAAGGTTCTGTTTTTTAATTATATAGTATTATTATATTTATATAAATTTATAGAAATATATAAATATATATGGTTGGAATCGAAACTGTAACTCTTATAGGAACCGTCTTTCCATTAAGCCAGAGAAGTGTCTTGGTTAGTAAAGCCCGAATTGAATATATATATATATATATATATATGGTTATAATCTATCTATCTATTTAGCTGAAAATATTCTTTTATTTCATTATTTATCTATCTTAATTTTTTATATCTGTCTATATATTTAGTTGATTCTATATATATATATATATATATGTGTTACAAAAGTAGAGCATAAATATAATTATTTATTTAAAAATATGATTCCAACTCGCGACATAAGAGGTCTCATGTTTCAAAACAAGAGCCGAAAACTTCAATATAATTATTTGAATTAAATTGAATTAAAGTAAGCTCTGTTCCATCTTCAAGCGAAATTTTTTTTGGAATAACGTATTTCTGAAATTTACGTGTTTTAAAAAATGAAATCAAAATTTCCATGGTAACAGCTAGGGCGAATTGTTTAAATTGGGTAGGCGGGTGTTGGGTGTTAATAATAAGTATCAGTATAGAGTTACTTTCATAGATGTCAAGTCAGGGAAAGGTGGGGGTGTCTAAATTTGAAACGGAAGATGTATTAACCCTAGTCTGGTTTACGTGTCTATGGAGATTTATTTATTTTTTTTTTTTTTTTTTTATGAAAGGGATTTGTGCATAAAAAAAAAAAAAACTGCCGTAACATTTGTTTTTGACGACTTCATAAAGGGTTATCTTTTTTGTAGGGTATTTAATCTATTTATAAAAAATTATAATCCATGTATGTTTTTTTATATAATTATATAAACCATAAATTTGATGATGTCGACAAAAACCGTTAACTCATGATTAATTGTTTAATAGATTTATATTTTTAGAAATTTAAAATATGTTTTTAAAATGATAAATGAATTGTCAAAAATATGTATTTAAATAGAAATATTAAACATTTTATATTTATATATATATATATATATATATATGTAATCTCTTCTTTAATATTCTAGTCTTAGTTTGATTATAATATATAAATAGTATAAAACAATGAAGAAAAAAGCTAGCATAATATATTTCAAGAGGCTAACAGTAACAACGATTTTGATTTATTTATATATATATCTGTATATATAATAACAGTAAGTTTTGTGTGTGTGTGTGTGTTATGTCTATTCTAATATGATATCAACGGATAAATATATTATATAAACAAAATCTTTTGTTCTTTTTATGGTTTGGGTGTGGTCGATGGGAAAATACTTTGAGGATAAGAAAATCATTTCCTCTATGAATTTTTTATAAAATTAAATGTGATCTTGAAATTTTTTTTATTTATTTTTTTATATCATATTTTTAAATATATTTATATATATATATAAATATATTTGCAAAATTTTAAAGAAAATGTTGAATTGACAAATTTGTAGGATTATGTATTTTTTTTTATTCTTTATATTCAAATGTTTTTTCAGGCGAATGTTGCCTCAAAAAATTTGTTTTAGCTATTTTTGTTTTTTCTTATTTTTTTGTTTATTTGTTTGGGTCTGACCGTAATATAAGGCGTTTTTTTCTTCGCTTTTAAGTTCGGGGATAAACACGGAGCGTGATAATAAGTAAATAAATTGTTCTAAGAAAAAAAAAAGAATATTGGGGAATAAAAAAGATGCTTTAAATAAAAGAAAGAATTTCCAGAACAAGGAGTCAAATTTTTATTAAGCATGACAATTCGGAAGGAAAAACAAAACGATTATGATTGATGAAAATCAAAATTTGAAAAGTAAAAAAAAAAGTGAAAAGAATCAACATATATATTACTAAAAAACAATGAATTTCAAACTTTTAAAAATGAATGTCCAGAAATGGATATGAAAATGGTAGAAGCGAGAGAAAATAATTGTGGCACAATCGATTAGGAAAAAAAAGGAAAGCGAATGTGTGGAAATGGCGACTACAAGAAAGTGTCAAAAAGGAAAATAAAATATCATACGACCGTAAAAAGGAATGAAAAGAAAGATTGGAAATGAAGAAAAATGTCTCAGAATAATAAGAAGGTGAATGAAAAAAAAACAGTAAGAAAAAAAATATATCTAGAAATGAAATAAAAAAAGGATTGTAATTTCATTTGAATCCTGAAAGAAAAGAATAAATGGGAGAAAACGAATGTGATACAATGAAGATAAATGAAAACATAGAAAAAAAAATGAATTTGAATGTTTTTAAGAAAAATGAAAGACAAATGTCTGGTTCCGACTAGAACGTCTTAAAAAAAAAGAAACGATCCATCGGAATGTTTTAAAATGAAAAAATTAGAATAAAACATTGTTGAAAAAAAACCAAAAAATGAAACGATAGCCAGTAAAAAAAGAAATAGAAAAATTAAACAAGGAAAGAAAGGTTTGGAAAGCAAATAAAAAGCAAAGGAATGTCTATAAATAAATGCAAAGATAAAGAAAACGAATAGAAATAATGAAAAGAAAAGTCTGGAAACGAAGAAAAGAAAGTCTGGAAACGAAGAAGAAAAGAAAGTCTGGAAACGAAGAAGAAAAGAAAGTCTGGAAACGAAGCCTGTGTTATTTTTAAACTGAAAAACGAAGAAATAAAAAAAAACTATAAAAATATTTTGCTAAAAAAATCTCGAATTAGATGATAAATTAAACTTAAAAGGAAAATTCTATTTAAAAAAAAAAATTTGAAATTTAAAAAAAATTTAATGAAAGAATTGATCTCGATTTCTTGACAAAGATTTGAAAGGAAAAATAAAATTGCGTTCAAAAGGATATGTCAAATAAATATAGATGGAAATCTATTTAAATCAATCAAATATTTTATATATAAATATCAAATATATATATATAAAATAATAAAACTCGTGAAACGAAAAACTCATTGGAAACGACATAAAAAAAGTATATCAAGCGAAGAAGAATAAATAAATAAAAATAAAAAGAAAAAACTAAAAAAAAGAAAGAAATGTCTATAAATAAAATTCTTTAAAGAAAAAAAAAAAAAAAAAAATATAAAACGAAAACATTCGAAGAAAACTAAAAAAAAAAAAACGAAGAGGAAAATAAAGTAAAACCGAAGAATATCTGCACATAAATGAGGGAAAGGAAAATAAAAGCATATAAATATATAAATATATATATATATATAAAAAATATAGAAATAATGAAAACTACATATGAAAAAAGAAGAAAGGTAACGAATGAGATTAAAATGAATCAAAACGCTGAATAAGAAGAAAAATTGAAAATGGTCCGAGAGAAAAAATAGAAAGTCAAGGAATATCTGTAAATAAGTACAAAGATAAAGAAAACGAGAACAAAAATTGAAAATTACCAAAAGAGAAAGGAAAGGAAAGAGATTAAAATAAAACAATACGCTGAATAAGAAGAAAAAGAAAAATATGTCTTTCAAAATGGAGAAAAAGTAAAGATACGTGAGAAAAAAGAGGATGGAAAATGATGAGAAATGGTAAAATGCCTAGAAATGACGTCTAAAAGTAATGTACGTATGGGAAAGGGGAAGGGGAATGAGATTTTCAAAGAAAAATGAAATTTTAAAAATCTCTGGAAATGAAGACAGAAACAAATAATCAGATGGAAAAGGGGAAAAGAAATGAAAAAAAAAGATCTAAAAAGACAAAAAAAAACAATTGATCAGAAAGAAAGATTATCGGAAAATGAGAAGAACTAAAAATATCTGGAAATGAAGAAAAGGTAAGAGAATGAAAATAAGATGGTGGACGAGGATAATAAATGAAATACAAAGATCTAGGAAGCAAGTTAAAAATAAATGAAAGATCTGAAGGAAAAACAGGAAGGAAAAAGATGAGACAAAAAAAGTTAAAAAAATATATCTGGAAATAAAAACGTAAAGAAAAATCCGGAAGGAAAATAGGACGGAGAATGAGTTAAAAAAAAAAACCCAAACAAATCAAAATGGAATGAAGACCAAAAGAAATTATTTTAAGGAAGGAAAATGAGAAGGAATGAAAGAAAATGAATGTCTGGAAATGAAGATAAAATGAAAGGGATGCATTGGATATAACGCTGGATAGGAAGGTTGAAATATTGAGAAATAGCGGGAAATAAAATCGAAAAGAATTTAAGAAAAAGAGGAAAGAAAATAAGAAAAAAAGAAAAAAAAGGTATCCGCAAACGAAGACTAAAAGAAAGTTGCAAAACTGAAAGATGGCAGGAAACGAGACGAAAAAGGAAAGAAATAGATAAAAAAAAATTTATGGAGATGAACGTTTGGTTTGGCTTATCTTATTTTACAGCATATCAATCTGAATGGTTTATCTAATGCCGAGAATAATTTTTAGAATAGATTCGCATTGTTAAATAATAGATAAAGACTATAATTTTTTAGTAGCAGTGTATTTATCTCAGACCTTCCACGGCTGACCTTTGGATAAGCTGATAGACAAAATAGGGATCTCGATTTTGATTAGCTTAAACAAACGTAGGAATGATAGAGAGAAAGACAGTTATTTCGATGAGTTAAGTTTTACACGTCTAAGAAATTAGATGTGTTAATTTCGTGTGCGGAAACTGCTCCTCAACGAGGCAACAGAGCGACACCACTGGCTAACGAGAAGATTTAAAAGTCGACGTATTAATAAAATAGATAAGTTTAAAATCACTTTTGTTGAAGTTCTCGTTTTCCTTCCGAATTAACCAACTCGCTCTCACTCGGCCAGAAAATGTTAGTAATAAGAATGCAACATATGAGTGAATCATGACAGTCGCCCAAGCGTAACAATTCACTACCAAAACTATTCGGACATTTTGGTGGTAAGGTGTATGATGTTGAAAGATTCAAAATTCCTTGATGAACCAAGTCAATTTACATCACTCTCGACACCCTCCAGCGCCCTATTTAAGAGTGTATATTCAAAGAATAATATAACAGATCTAATAATAAACTGAAATTATGTTGCTAATAAATTCGTAAATTAATAAATATCCCTAAATTTCTTGAAATAATTCAATCCAAATAGTCAGATCAGATCGAGATTTTCATATGAACGCCATTCATGGCATCGTTTAGAAATATTCAAAATAAGAGCTGATAAACACTGCTTTTCAGATATATGGCTAAAAATGGATTCGAGTAAATGAAACATACAGGTCTTTGCAAGGACCATTCTTTTCGAACAGAATCACAAACAAAGAACTCTAGCAAATGGCAGAACTTAAAATCATTTTGAAACTTTTAACAGCAGAAATTTTCATTTTTTTGGGTTGTTATTCATTATTTTCATGGAAAATTATAGATGCATTTTCGACAAGAATTGTGAACGTGGATAGGTAAGCTGTTGTAAATGTTGAGAGATGTATTATTCAAATGAAAACTCAAACTTCTATGCCTAAAGGCAGTCTTTCTCGATAAAAATTTTATACTTTTTTTTCTGTGGTTAGATAAAATATTGTTATGGACCTTACCCATAATAACATTATTGACTATTCCATACGTAATAAATACTGCGCCTCAAGAGGAAGCAGGGAGTTCAGTCTGAAGTCGGGCGACCGGCTGACCGGCTGATCGGTTGAACTCTCTGCCTTCGGGCGGGGAGGACCCGAACGAGGCTACGCCGAAGGGCGGAGTCTCTTTCGGGAGGTAAACCGACCCTGAACCCGTTTATACGGGTTCAAAAGGGCATATTTTTGGCCGAGCCCACGGGCTCGGAGATCCCACGTTAAACCGGCCTTGTGCCACATGATGCCCTCGTGGGGGGTGACTAAATACTGTTCAGTCTGAAGTCTGGAGTGAGGTCCGTCAGAAGTCCGTCAGAGTCTGTCAGTCAGTCAGTCAGTCAGTCGAGTCAGTCAGTCAGTCAGTCAGCGTTCAGACAGTCGAAACAGAGTCGCGTTCAGACAATTACTACTAAACCTGATTGTTCGTACTAACACTTTTCTACTTCTCTGTATATATTCCTGTTTGTAATATATCTGTGTTATTCCATATCCGCCTTCGAGTTCTTCTTTATTGGTTCTACCTTGGACTATCACCGTGGTACAAGGAACCGGACCATAACAATTACAAAAAAAACATTTTAAATTTATACATAATTTATTGGTTTTCTGCAACACGTTAATTGGTGGGGAGGATCCATTACATTCGATATATTTAATTTAGTCTAGTAATTTTATTTTTTACTAGGATATGTGGTAGATATATTAGTATTTATTAGGCTTTTAGGATATTTTTGACCTGTTCATAAATAGAATGTATTTAAATGCCTTATAAAAGATAAATATGTTTAAGATTATACAAATATTGTCAAGCTGTTTGAATTTTTATTTGAATGAGGCATCTAACACGTCTCAGCATTTACAACAGCGTGCCTGTCTACACTCGCAATTTTAAAAAAAAAATCTTGTCGAAAATAAAAGTAACACAAAAAAAAAAAAAACGACAAAATCAAGATATTAACGTTCTACACTGCTTCAAACAAAAAATTAGAAAGAAAATACCAATCAGTACTGTAAAGATATATTTCAGCCTATTGCTCCAGGCATTTTTTTTTTTTGAAAACTGTTTCAAATTATTGCTAATTCCTCAGAAACGTAGATACATTAAAATACCGTCATATTCCGTGGGGTTTTATTTATTACTAGCAGCATGGCCCGGCGTTGCCCGTGCTTGATTCAAAAAGCGTACGACTCATACAGCAATCGATATCATTTGACTTAAAATATTTTTTGCCTTTCCTGCCTTTAAAAGGAGTGTTTTTGCCGTGCTGATGTTGCTTTAATTTTAACTTCTTGCCTTTTAAACACTGCGAATTTTTTAAGCAAAAAACTAAACATTAAATCTGTTACGAAAAAAAGAACTAAACAAAATGAACACAAAACGAATAGCTTTAAAAAGGACTCGTAACTGGAAAAACCGAATGAAAAAGAATATTACCAAAAAATACTTTTCACACCCAACCCAGTTCTGCGGAATCAGAATCAACGTTAAGTTTAAGCAAGCGAAAACCAATTTTTTTTAAAGTGCCATGCAGATTTAAATTTTTCCCACTTGTGACAAATGCAGCTATCGATTTTTTTGAATGCTAGCATGCTAGTTAACATTCGTGTCAATCAGCTGTTGGCTCTCACGCTGGCCAATAGAATCTTCCTGCCTATTCGTGGCAGCCAGCAATAGTGCTCTCACTCTGGCCAGTAGAAAATGGCCGCAACTTACAAATAAAAAACTGCCGTAGAAGCATGAAAAAATCGATTATTTCCACTATCGATGGGAGTTTTTAAAATGTAAAGTCGGTCTTGGCCTTCCCGCTAAATTGGAGCATGTGCATTATAAATTTTGGTATTTTCCGTCGAAAATTGCGGCCGTGCATTCGTTGCGCACACACACACCCTGCCTTTTATAGAAAGAGATTGCTTTTCATCCTATTATCAGGGGTCCCTTGGAAGGAAGAATTCTTACCAATATTTCATGGTTGAACATTACTATTAATTTTTGACTTCCATTCGGATTTGTAAATATTTATGACCTTTTGTTTAGCCTAAATATAAGCTTCAAATAAATTATAATATATATATATATTATAAAAAAGCTGATTCTAATTAATCGAAACAGCCCCAAAGTTAATAGATTTTTTTTTTGTGTGTTACTCCGACATATTTTAATGTTTATTACTTTAATCTATTCATTTGAAATTACATTGTTTAGGTTTTGGATACGAATCTCAACAGTTATGAATTTCGATGAAGCAAATAGAACCTTGCATAATTATAAAGCTAGGAGGGCGCATATTTCTTCAATAATATTGTTCAAATGTTCAGGCCGATTGATGAAATAAAAATGTTTAAAATAAAGGGGCGTCTACTCAAATATATCAATTAAAGCAATAAATATGTCAATTAATAAATAAAAATGCTTTACTTTTGAAAAGAAATATATAATATATATATATATATATATATATATATATATATATATATATATAGTTTTTGCAAAACTAGGTAATAAAATGGGTAGACCCAAGGAGGATGATATCCGGAAAAAAATGTAAAATTCAGAGCAATATTATTCGATATGTTTGAATAAAAACAGATGTTTAAGGTTCCATTATAAAATAAGTTATTTTTCACCACAACCCATTTAACAGGCTCTGGATCATCAGACTTTTTTGAAAGGTTTAAATGAAAAATGAAAAAAAATTTCACGTTTTTATATATATATATATATATATATATATATATATATATATATATAATATATATATATATATATATAATAATTACAACGACAAAATACAAAAATAAAAAGTAAAATTAGGGGTTTAAATCTATTTCAATACGAAAGATTTTACGTCAATCTTATTCAACCCCGGTGTTCAGACTGTGTTCGTGTCGGAATTGGTAATTAACTTTTGACGGTCATCGCAATATTGATACAGAATTTATACATTTACTCATTCTAACACCAAAAACAAACTGAAAGCAAAGATTATGGCAGCACTTAAAGAACTTAAAGTAGGAGACCGTCCTGACGAGATGCAAGAGGTTTTGATGTCGTCTGGAATCTGTGGTTGAAGCCAATGCCGATTATATTGAATGAATTTACACTTAAGTATTTCAAGATATTTTTGCGTAATCCAGGGAAATATATCTATTAAAATAAGATATCAGTGTTATTTTCGTTTCTTGCGTAATTTAAACGAAAATTTATTCATCGCATTCTATATATATATATATATATATATATATATATATATAGATAGATAGATAGATAATGCCCGTATGTGTCCGTGAATAGCCACTAAAATGATTTTTTTTTCTCTTTTTTTTTTTACTGTAAGATAAGATCTTCCACCAAGATAAACACTTGGAACACATCAAAAAAAATTAGTTATAAATCCATATATCAATACATACATATATATATATATATATATATATATATATATATATAGAGAGAGAGAAAATCGAGAGAGACGGGGAGGATGTGTGTGTTGCTGACAGACAGAAAGGGAAAATGAGTGAAACAGATGATTATTTGATGTAAAAAGAGAGCGGAAAATAGACGAGTAGCTATACAAATCACAAAATTTTGCTTGTTTAGTTATCTGAATGAAAAAAATATCGAAGCATGATATATATATATATATATATATATATATATATATATATATATGACCATTTATTTTAAGATTTACTTGTCAATCCGAATATTTAATTTAATATCCAATCCCAAACGTCCATTCTAGTATTTTAAAACAACCATTCCCAACTCTTGTTTACGCTTTGGAAAACACAAACTAAAGCCGCCATTAATACATGGTCGACGCAGCCATCTGCCGTCTTCTTTTTTCCATAGGGATCCATTATGTCAGTGTTGATAAGATGGACGCTATTAAATTGGCCTGCTTCCTGCCTCGTTACTCGAACTGCCATTGTACTACAGTATATATTGCTGTTTACCCCGACCAGGCCATCACTTATTCTTATCGTCTGCCATCAGCCATCTTTCCATACAGTCTGGCGGGAAGTTGTATGAATTTGTTGCTGCCAAATCAATTTAAAATCAGGAAGCAAAAATGGGCCCGTGAGGAGGTTGCCCGTGTGTATATTTCTATCAAACGAAAATGATTGACTATTTTTGGTTAGAAGGGAAGACATTTTTGTCAGCTGTGTTTTTATTACATTGGAAACTTGTTCTGTTTTTTGTTTTTTTTTAATTAAGGTTTCTAACTATAGAAAGCGTCTTCTTTTAATTAATTTTTTTACCTTTTTTCCACTCTATTCTTTTCTTTCCGCCATTGTCTCTTTCTCTGTGTGATTGTTTCTGTTATAATCTTTTTATATCAACCCTATGAATGTATTTTTCTTATATATATATATTTTGTCCCATTTGACTGCCTAACAATACGAGCTATCTAGCTTGTTTCAAAACAGAGACCACTATGTAGCGAATGGGATCTTCTAGCTTAACGTTTAGCGAATCGGAAATTAGGGACACCAAGCAAGACTCAAGTCCTCACCTAATAAGATGCATTCACCGTTAATCCATCACTTTATCTCGACTATAATGGTAAACTGGTGTTTCTGGAAACCAATGTCGAAATACAATTCTGAATTCAAAAACGTGAACAAGGCAACAGGAAACAACTCATTTATTTTTCTTTCTAATAATTCATGGCAGTTCACAAATATTAAACGAAATAAACCTGCGGAGAGACATGACAGTCTACGTCCTGGATTGAGATGGCATAAAGTATTATTGTCCATATTAACAATGGCTGACGACTCGTATTCGAGTACACCCTTCTGTTATCAGACGCTTGCTCAGGTGCATTTTCCGTTTGTTCAACACCCACCTGTCAACTATGCTGAGCGGACTTTAGAGTTTCTGGGAGATAGAAGCGTGTTATCTAGCGACAAAAACAACAAACTGTTTTTTTTTAGCACGCTCAAACCCTAGAACAGCCAATTATATATATATATAAATAGTATATCAATACAAATTTCACTCACAAGGCTTTGGTCATTATACCCAAAGCGACTGATATAATATATATATGACATTACTTGTCAGGCGTTTTTTAAGGAAATTTGTATAAAAGGGGGATTCCTTTTCAAATACACAGTTATATCTATCTATCTATCTATCTATCTATCTATCTATCTATCTATCAAATATATCTGTATGTATATATATATATATATATAAATATATATATATATATATATATATATATATATATATATATATATATATATATATATATTCATGCACGTTTCATTAAATAATATAGACAAGTGTTGTCTATTTATTTTATGTAAAATTTTTTCGTAACGTCTGATAAGTTTAATAACATTATCGTTGAACGAAGAAAGAAATTCACAATATTGATCCATATTTTTTTTAATACAATCTAAGCTTTCGGCTTACATAAGCCATTATCAAAGATGTCAATTACAACATATTAAACAATATACGGACACGACAGTGATGATAGTCTGTCATTGTTTACATAGATGATTTCTAGGCAACGATATGAAGACGTGTCTCATTAAAATTATTTAGAAGAGTTTTGTCTAAATAATCCTTAATAGAATCATCTCATATTTACGGGCGCGTTTCTTAGTATTCTTATTAAAAGAAGAAAAATATTTGTGTATATACATTTCATTCCCGAGTACTTTTGACATTAGCACAATGTCATCTTCAGGGTCTTGTTTTTGCTAAGACAAAATTACTGTACATTATTTACATTATTCGGACTATTGTACTCATCTTTGTCGCCATATTTATCACAACGTTTCGGCTGTTGTACGCTCCGGCCTTCTTCAGGTGGTTGGAACGTCGAACCGAACACTTTATTTCGCTCACTGGGGTAGACTGTTCTAGTTCCACGTGCCATGCTTGATGGATGTCAGTTATCTCAAGGACACATGGCCCAGTGAATAAAGAGCGTTGGTTAGATCCAGTGACAGGACCCAAAGAGTGTGAGTTCAATACCCGGTTAAGGCAGTGGAGAACTTTCAGAGGGAAAAATTAGCTGGCGATAACTGATAACTGACATCCATTAAACATAGCACGTGGAACTAGAACAGTCTACCCCAGTGAGCGAAATAAAAGGTTCAGTTCGACATTCCAACCACCTGAAGAAGGCCGGAGCGTACAACGGCCGAAACGTTGTGACACATATGGCGACAAAGATGAGGACAATAGTCCGAATAATGTAAATAATGTACATAATACCTCATCTCAGAAATATAGACAGATACTGAAAGGCCGAAACGTTGTAATAAATATGGCGACAAATATGAGGACAATAGTCCGAATAATGTAAATAATGTACATAATACCTCATCTCAGAAATATAGACAGAAAAAATTACTGTCTTCATCTGATTTTTTTTTTTTTACTTGTAAAATGAAAAACGCTCATCACCTGAAAATTAAAGTTTTTATTTGTGAAGTGAAAAGCGCTGAGTTTATATACTTTACGATTTTGAAATTTCATGATGTAACCATACACACGCAGTACCGTCAAGGGAGGTAACTAAGTTAACAAGCATATTTTTTTTTAATTCTAAAAGCTATCTATATAAAAAAATCTAAACCGACCCTTAATAAAATTAATTATGAATACTGTACAAATGTTTAAATGTTTACAGTACATACTTTAAAACATCTAGCTAATAAATAATAGCTTTAAATATTTTTTTTTAATTGTTAGACTTATCAATAACTTAGTTACCTCCCTTGACATTCTTGCACGTGTATGTTTACATCATAAAATTAAAAAAAAATTGTACAGTACATAATATCAACTATGATCACGGCCACAATGTGCTAACCGTGTTTATAAAATAAAACATTCCTATAATTCTAGATACATACGCAAAACAATCCATGCGTTCAGTTAAAAGTAAAAATAAAATCATCCTTGATGATAGCTAAAAGAATAGCTGAAACGCTTGGACATACAAAACA